TATATAGTATATATAAATATATATAAATTCCCAGAAGGTCGCTTCACGATATCCCACGTTCAGACAGCCAGTAAGCAGGTGAAATTATAAAAGGCAAGCTTAATTGGCACTCTCCTTCCACATTATTCTTACAGCTGAATGATTATGAGATTCGGAAAGGGAAAAAGATTGGTGTTACCGTATCTTATAACAATCACCGCTTGTTTGTGGGAAATATTCCAAAGAATCGAGACCGAGATGACTTGTTTGAAGAATTTACAAAGCACGCACGTAAGTTAATAATTGTCCTTAAATCAGCAAGCAGTAACCAAAGGAAATTCTGTGGAAAAAAATGGTGGGACAGAATTTTTATCTTTTAACCATCGGCTGTTTGTATCTGTTTTTTGTCAGAAGTGCCAGGTGGGTTAATTTTAACCACCCTGCATTATTATTAATTAGGCAGATTTCTTCACAAATTGATACATTTGCCATATAATATAATTTTTCACCTGTGAAACATTTCGTGACACGTTTTCACCGTAAACACCATCAAAATTTATTTTTTTGTTTTTCGGAAGGGACTCTTCATTTTTTGTAATTCCATTACGTTTCATTACATATTAACTTTTGGATAAAAGGTTGGCCATAGTTGATTAACAAATTTTAATATTGAACTGTGTCCCACAATCATGATATTCAATTCTTGCATTTGTGATAATTATATGTGCAACTTAAATGTTCTTAATTACCTCTTTTTAATATTTTTCCTTTTGTTTCATTGTTTGTTTAAATATTTTATTTTAATTGTTTCATTTTATAAATAATTTGTTATCGAATATTTCTTTCTCATTGTACGTGGTGCATAAAACATTATTCGTACATTTACTTCTTTTCCATAAACGGTATATTCCCGATGAAATATTTTATATTCTTGACAACTGATTTTGGGATGCGAAAATATGTATAGGAATTAGAGTAAGATTTATACAGAACAAAGTATAAATACGCAGAGTCATTTATAATCACACAAATTCTACAGCTATGCGCATTTTAACCTTTTTAAACCATAAGGTTTAACTTTATGTATCTGTGTCATAAAATACTTATGATATCAGGGGTTAGTAAAAAATAGCATTTTAATCATTGAAAAGATGTTCTATTTTTGTCGAATTTTGATGTATTTGTTACAAAAGAAGAATCGATTAGAGTGATTGAGTGATTGTGTTTTCACCTACTATACTGTGTGTTTGCATAGTATTCCTGCATGTATTACTAAACTATGGACTCAGAGAGGAAATAACGCATGAAAATGACAATATAAAGTGCTAATATCACATTAGGAAGACATAAGATTATATAATCAAGAAAGGTTACAAGGCAATTTGAATTAACAATTTGAATTATTCTAATAATACCTCTATCCCACTTCTCCCGACTGTCCTGGCCCACCCATCGAACTGTCAACCTAGCTGTTCACTTATTTGTCTGCCTGTCTATCTGTCTCTGTCTGTCTGTCTGCCTGTCTGTCTCTGTCTATCTATCTATCTGCCTGTCTCTGTCTGCCTGTTCCTGTCTGCCTGTCTCTGTCTATCTGTCTCTCTCTATCTGTCTCTGTCTATCTGTGGGTCTCTGTTTGCCTGTATCTGCCTGCCTGCTTGCTTGTTCGTCCGTCCGTTTGTCTGTCTACTGTATCTATCTATCTGTCTGTCTGTCTATCTATCTGTCTGTCTGTCTATCTATCTGTCTGTCTGTCTATCTATCTGTCTGTCTGTCTATCTATCTGTCTGCTGTATCTGTCTATCTATCTGTCTGTCTGCTGTATCTGTCTATCTATCTGTCTGCTGTATCTATCTATCTATCTATCTCTCTCTCTGTTTGTCTGTCTGTCTGTCTGTCTATCTATCTGTCTGCTGTATCTATCTATCTGTCTGTCTGTCTGTCTATCTGTCTGTCTGTCCGCCTGCCTGCCTGCCTGCCTGCCTGCCTGCCT